ATCAGACTATAACCAAATTCGCATGGCGCCAAAAGATGAAGAGCTTACTGTATTCCATACCCCCAAGGGTATTTATTGCTACAAGGCCTTTTGGCTTGAAGAACGCTGGTGCTACTTACCAAAGAGCTATGCAGAATATATTTGATGACCTTCTCCACAAGAATGTCGAATGCTATGTTGATGACTTGGTGGTAAAATCAAGAAAGAAAACCGACCACTTGAAAGACTTGAGAATGGTGTTTGATTTGCTCCAGAGATACCAACTTAGGATGAATCCATTAAAATGCGCCTTTGGAGTTACCTCCGAAAAGTTCCTGGGTTTCATTGTCCAACATCGAGGAATTGAAATAAGATCAAGCTAAAGTAGATGCAATCTTGAAAATGCCTGAGCCCCGCAATATTCATGAATTGAAAGGTCTATAAGGAAAGCTAGCATACCTTAGGAGATTCATCTCAAGCCTAGCTGGGAGGTGCCAACCATTCAGTCGCCTTATGAAGAAAGGTATCCCTTTCTAATGGGACCAAGTGTGTAGCAATGCCTTTGAGAGCATTAAATCTTACTTGATGAAGCCTCCGGTTTTGGTAGCCCCTATACTTGGAAAGCTGATGATACTATACATTTCAGCACAAGAAAGGTTTGTTGGAGCGTTGTTGGCCCAAGAAAATAGTGAAGGGAAAGAAAACTCCCTTTACTACTTAAGTAGGATGATGACACCAAATGAGCTGAATTATTCGCCAATTGAAAAGTTATTCTTGGCGCTAGTCTTCTCAATCCAAAAGTTGAAGCACTACTTTCAAGCTCATGTCGTTCGTTTGGTTTCTAGAGCAAATCCCATCAAGTTTGTGATGTTAAAACCTGTCCTTAGTGATCGACTAGCAAGGTGGTACCTCCAGTTTCAACAATTGGAAATCGAGTACATCCCACAAAAGGCTATAAAAGGACAAGCGTTAGCGGACTTCTTGGCAGATCGCCCAATACCTGATGATTGGGAGCTAACTGACGAACTACTGATGAGGACGCCATGGTCATTGAAGTTCAGCCTCCCTGGAAGATGTACTTTGATGCTGCTGCACATCGCGGAGGAGCTGGTGCTGGTGTAGTATTTGTCACTTCTCAAGGTGAAATTCTGCCCTACTCTTTTACGTTGATGCAACTCTGCTCTGACAACGTTGCTGAGTATCAAGCACTAGTACTTGGGCTTGAAATGGCTGTCAAAATGAAGCGGTTGCAAATGCTCTTTGGTGACTCTCAGTTAGTGGTCAATCAACTTTTAGGTAGTTACGAGGTCAAGAAGCCTAAACTACGCCCATATCATGATTACGCTAAAAAACTAATGGGGTGGCTCGGTGATGTAACTATTTAGCATGTGCGAAGGAAAGAAAATAAGAAGGCTGATACTTTTGCTGCCCTAGCTTCATCGTTAATCCTGCCTGATCAAGCATGAGTTAATATTTGCCAAAAATGGGTAGTACCGCCGCCAAATGAGGCTGAAGGTGAAGAAAATGAACTCAAGCATCTTGTCGCTGTTTCTGAAGTTGAGAAAGAAGAATGGCGACAACCCATTATCGACTACTTATGCTATGGGATACTTCCAGAAAATCCGCGGAGAAGGACTTAAATCCGTCATCGTGCACCTCACTTCCTTTACTACAAAGATACTCTATATAGAAGGTCATTCGAAGGAATACTCTTCCGATGCTTAGGGGAAGAAGAAGCACTCCAAGCTTTGCAAGAGGCACATTCTGGGGTATGTGAGTCACATCAGTCTGGACCAAAGCTCCACTTCCATATAAAAAGGATGGGATATTATTGGCCAACGATGGTAAAAGATTGTGTGGACTACGCTGAAGATGCAAGGCTTGTCAATTCTTTTTATTCATCAACCTCCTAAAGTGTTGCACCCGACTGTTGCATCCTGGCCGTTTGACGCTTGGGGTTTGGGTGTTGTTGGACCACTGCCAAAGTTCTCTGGTGGGCACCTATACATCTTGGCCGCAACTCACTACTTCTCAAAATGGGCTGAAGTTGTTGCTCTTAAGGAAGTAAAGAAGGAAAATATTGCAAGCTTCATCCGAGTAAACATTTTTTATCGCTTTGGCATTCCTCGTTACATAATAACGAATAATGAAAAGCCATTCCATAATAGGTTGATGAACAAGATTTTTGATCTCTTTGGCTTCAAGCAACATAACTCTTCGATGTACAATGCTGCCACCAATGGTCTAGCTGAGGCATTCAACAAAACTCTATGCAACTTGTTAAAGAAAGTCGTCTCCAAATCCAAACGAGACTGGAATGACCGTATGGAAGAATCTCTATGGGCATATAGGATGAGTCAACGCACGCCAACACAAGTGACTCCTTATGCACTCGTTTATGGAGTCGAAACCGTCTTGCCATTTGAGCGTCAAATACCTTCATTACGACTGGCTATTCAAGAAGGGATCACTGATGAAGAAAATGCTCGACTTCGATTAGCAGAGTTAGAGGCTCTTGATGAGAAGAGGTTGGAAGATCAACAGAGTCTCGAATGTTATCAAGCTCGATTGTCTCGCGCCTTCAATAAAAGAGTTTGCCCGAGATCCTTTCAAGTAGGAGATCAAGTCCTTGCCATACAAAGACCCATAATTACTTCCCATAAACCTGTAGGGAAGTTCACTTCAAAATGGGATGGGCCATAGTCATACAAGAAGCTTACTCAGGTGGGGCTTACAAGTTGGTTGATGCAGATGGCATGAGAATCGGCCCTATCAATGGCAAAAGTATTATCCTTGAAGTTACAACACTCCTTGACGCATGAGCCTAAACTGCATACTCCTACACTCCTGGCCCGCATGAGTCTCAACTGTGTACGAAAAAAAAGAGTCTGCTAGGTTGAAAACCTCGAAGGAAGCAGCCTAAGCAAAAGTTAGGACATAAAAAAAAAAATCACCCATTCTGAACTACGGTATGACTTGATCCTCTTCACCGAGGTACGTAGGCATCTTAGAGTTTCATTCTGAGTTCAGTCACATGAGTTCAAAAGATACATGTTACCCCAATCGTTATTTGAAGGAAGAATGATTTAATATAATCTACTTGATTGGAACTTACAAATCGGCCTTACAAGAACTTTGTCCCTTATGAGAGATCGGTGGTTCAATGCGGGCAAGCCTCCATAGAAAATTGGCATCTTCGATGGATGGATGTAGACTTTTAGTAGAAGGCCAAATCTTCAATTTGATGTCCTCGAGTTTGCCGGTCTTCAAGTTGAATTATATAAGCCCTTCAAATCTTCAAGTATGTCGCTCTTCAAGTTAAATTTTACAAGTCCACCGCCCTTCAAGTTGAAGTCTACAAGTCCGCCAAACTTTAAGTTGAAGTATTCAATCCCTTCAAGTCTTCAAATACGCCGGTCTTCAAGTTGGATTATTCAATTCCTCCAAGTCTTCAAGTACATCGGCCTTCAAGTTGAAGTCCTTAAGTTCGCCGGCCTTCAAGTTGAGTTGTTTAGCCCCTCCAATTCTTTAAGTTGTAGTCTTCAAGTCTGCTAATTCTTCAAGTTGAAGTTTAAAGTCCATCGCTCTTCAAGTTGACGCATCAAAGTCCGCCAAATCATCAAGCCCGTCAAATCATCCAGTTTGCCGGTCTTCAAGTTGAGGTCTACAAATCCACCATCTTTAAGTTGGGCTTTCTAATTTTTTAATCTTAAGGTGGACATGTTAGTCCCTTTACACCTTAAGTTGGTCTCTTCACGGGTTTTTCCTTAAAAGGAAATATAATTTTTCAATCCTAAGGTGGACGTTGATGTCCCTTTGCATCTTAAGTTGACCTCTTCGTAGGTTTGTCCTTAAAAGGAACTTTAATTTTCCAATCTTAAGGTGGGCGTTTAAGTCCCTTTGCACCTTAAGTTGTCCTCTTCATGGATTTGATCCATCTATATGATGATGAGGATTTATCCGTCTATATGGTGATGATGGTTTGTCCATCTATATGTTGATGCGGATTTGTCCGTCTATATGGTGATGAGGACTTATCCGTCTATATGGTGATGTGGGTTTGTCCATCTATATGTTGATGCGGATTTTTCCATCTATTTGTTAATGCTGATTTGTCCATCAATATGTTGATGTGGATCTGTCCGTCTATATGTTGATGTGGATGTATCCATCTATATGTTGATGCGGATTTGTCCATCTATATGTTGACGTGGATTTGTCCGTCTATATATTGAGGTGGATGTGTCCATCTATATGTTGATATTGATGTGTCCGTCTATATGGTGATGTGGCTTTGTCCGTCTATAAGTTGTTATGGATTTATCCGTCTATAAGTTGTTGCAAATTGATCTGTCTATAAGTTGTTGCAAGATCCATCTGTCTATAAATTGTTATGAATTTAACCTTCTATAAGTTGTTGCGGATTTATCGTTCAATGGGACGTCATGGTGTTTCTCGTCAACTTATACGAATTCGAGCAAGTTTGAAAACTGCAATTGATGCTTAATAAACATATGAACATGGGTTTATATAGATCGCAAAGGGGCTGCTGAAACGTGAATTGCCGATGTGGGATGATACCCTAATCAGACTCCGAGAAGGATTCAATTTGTAGTGGCAGTGAATCTTTTGCTAAAAGTAAGGATTTTTCCTATAGTGGAGGTAAATTGTTAGTTAAAAAAGCGTACCTGGCAATACTTCAGAAGCCTACTTGAATTGAAAAGAGCGACGAGCAAATCCCACGAGTTTACTAGTCCTACGGGTCTAGCTCTTTCGAATTTAAAGTACAAGAAGTAACACAAAATGGAAAGTTAAACATATTTGGAGGTTACGTGCTATCTCAGTTTGCAAAAAAAGCTTGCAAAGACATCATATTAAAGTTTCAGGCATGATGTCTCCTAGACTATACTATCAAAGTATACAAGGACTAAATAACAAGACTATGTCCGCCAGTACTTCAAAACTAGTCTCTCAGGAATCCAATAACTCCATACTCAGACTAGTCTTTGAAATGGGTCCTACTCTTTTTTTGTTGATCCTTATTGCATAACTAATAAAGTTGATCGCCAATAGCACTACAACAAAAATGGCCTTTAGCGACAATTATTTAATAGCAATAAGTTATTAGTTTTCTGATCTCAAATATTAGCGGCATATGTAGATTAGCCAGGAGAAGTTGCATCTTTACCGGCAATAAAGAAAACGACCACTAAAGATTATACAACTTACCGGGAAGTAAATTTTATTATTTCATTTTTCCATCATTATTATCCTCTTCCGTAAAAAAGTGCCAAAGCGAATTCCAACACCCAAATCCAAGGAAAAACCCTAATCATCCTCAAGGCCCAACTTGTTTCTCTCTCTGATCTTGCTATCCTCTCTCGCTAGACCTCTTTTGAAACAGTCAATTTCTATTGTCATAGTTCCATCAGCCCTCCCCTTCCCGCTCGCACAATCATCATCGAGGTAAGCTCGACTACATTAGAACTTTTGTGTTGTTGTTTGATGACCATTTAAAGCATTTGATCTGTACTTCAAAATATAAAAATTCAAATCCATAAATTTAAATGGATTGCCATGTTTCAATTTTACCAAAATTTAATTGGAAACCCTGTTTCTCTAGACCTGTTTATTTAAACGAATGTTTATCTTTTCCTGTCTGTTTATCTAAAATGCGCCTCAATTTATTATGTTTTTCTTCTTTTCTGCCTTAGTACTGGTATTTGAATTGATTCAAAGTGCAATTTCTCTGATTTTGTTGCTTAGCCTTTTATGGAACGTCTTAGAAAAGTATATTTCGATTGGGAGTAAGGTATGCATTTGTTTTGCTTAATATTAAGACTATTTTTAATTCAGTTGGTGGTTATTCACAAGAATACTTATTGTTATGGTTCCGTTAGTTTTGATACTATTTTCACTGCAATAACAAAATTACTGAATGTTAAGTGCACATTATGATTTACTGCTGGAAGAATCTGTATGTATGTAGGTACTGCTAGAAACAAAAGATAGTTCAGTTTGTCTAAAAGTCGAGGGGAAATATTAGAGAATCACAACTAATAGTTAAATTTAAATATAGATATAGCTAGATCAGAATAGGTGAGTTTCACTAATTCGAATTTCTGAAGTTCTAGTTCTCCTTTTTGTAACTTTTCCAATTTATTTTGAATGGTTAGTCTATGACCAATATTCTGTTTCAAAAGAATAAAAAGATTGTGTACAAGAAATGTATCGGTAGATGTTAGATATCTTATTCCTTTTTTTTTTAATTCAAATACTTCTTCTCTGGCTTCTTGTTTCTTAATTCATGTGCAAAGTGCTTATGCCCCCTCCCCGGCATGAATTTCATGCTATGGTATGCTGCACCAAATCGTTAGCAATAACAACCACTAGATGTGGCAAATGACGACACTCGACCTATAAAATATATCAAAAGCTTTTTGTATCTTATGTAGTTTCAACTGCAACTAATATGTATCATATCTTTCACTCTAGCATATTTCGATTATCACATTATCAATATAAAATTCTGATTTCCTTTAATCGATGGTAATAGTTATAACTGAGATGCTCTTGGCAAAGATAGTACTAAAGTTTTAGTCAGAATATGAGCTATTAACCCCAATATAGAGGTACTTTTAGGGCACGTGTGTTGTGAAAATTGTATGTTACACACAAAGCTACTTTGGTGGACACTTCCATCTCATATTATTTCAAACCTTTTTAATGTCAAGTTACTTCTCAAGCATTGCAGTTTAAACTCAATTAGTTCCTGAATCCTAACTACTGCAAATTAGAAAACTGAGATTATGGATGTAACTGCTAAAGATTGAGATGCATTTTCTTGTTCATTGGATAATGTATAAGTAAAAGTGGTTTGGTTTACATTTTCCAGACATACTTATGTTTTTTAATCTCTATTTTCTTGTACTAGATCTAGAGACCCATAAACAAGTTTTTATCACATGAAATCGTATCGCTTTGCCACAGTTATTTACTAACCTCTAATTTAAGTTGTGACTCCCTTTCATTAACATTCAATTCCATGGTGCGTACCTACTAGAATGTGGAATGTACTTTACTTATAGTACTCATCTTTTTTTTTTCTGAAGAATATTTTATGTCACAAGTTCTCTAAGTGATCGGCACAGTAACTTTATAAGAGTTTTCTAACAATAATAGTTCGTGTTACACTATGAACTGTAAAAGAATGGCTCTCCTCATAATTGTCTGGAAGGTGCCGATGAAACTTGTTCTTTCCAAAATTGAGCATAAATTGATAATATCATATGGTTTGTTGGATAGAAGTAGTGAAAAAAAAGATTTTCCTAATTGTATTTTTGCTTCTTGACTGATCAATCTGAAACTATCTCTGAGTGCCCTCATTCTTTATTTTAGGTGCAAGAGCCAGAGATGGTAAAGCTGCCTGTTCAGGATACTATAGTCAAGATTTAATAACATAAATCCCGGAGACTTCACTGTGCAAGTTAAGGTTAGGAGAGTCTTGACCTACTCTTTCTATCAAGTCGTTAATTAAAGATCTTATTGATGTGCATGTTTCTTGTGTTGTTTGGTTCTACAATTTTGTGCTGATTAACATCAGCTATATGTCTTGACATCTGAAAATTGATATTCTGTTAAAATAGTTTCATTTCATATTTGAATGTATGCTGCTAATCTTGCTTTTCTTTATACAACTACCTACAATATGGAATTTTTAGGTTGGAAAGAAAAATAGTTTACTCACTGATTGGTTAGTTTACTCAGTGATTAGCCACTATTGCCAAATAAGGATAAAAAGAAAGGGGAATCAGCATAATCTACTAGAAATTACATATACTGATTTCTGCTAGCATGGTGCCTTCACTAAAATTGAATTCTGACTGATCAAAGTGTCATTGCAGTCACAATTTTCTTTGAGCTGCACTAAATTTTTTCTTTATTTAAAGGCTTTTTATTATATTAATGCATGGCCCTCCATCATCAATATTTTATATACTTGTGAACAAATATTTCATGAGCTAGTAGGACGATGTAGATCGGAGTTCTTCTCTTTGATAATGGTATAGTTAGATTGTTTTTTGTATAGCATGGAGGTTGTTTTGGCATAGTGGAAAAATATAAGACTATATATCCCATGAGCTAGTCATGATGTTGACATTCCTTTTTTTTTTAATTTCAGGTCATACGGTACAATGTTCGATAATTTGACATGTCAGAAGATTTTATTATGCTCAAGAGCTGAAGAAACTTTTATTCAATGTTCGTTGTATAGTATTATAGTTGTTGATAACACCAACTATTAGGTGCAAGATGACATTAATTATTAGATTCAATATTCTTTTTTGTGTTTTGACATTTTGAAATTATGGATTAGTATTTGTATTTGTTTGTTGTGAATTCAAGTGTACCAAGCTTTTTAAATTGAATATTATTATTATTTTTAATGTAAATAAATATTGGCGTCATAAATTTTGGGCGATACCTTTCTTAATATTTACAGACAAAAAAGAAAAGTCGTCAAAGAATGTCTTTTCTATTAACAATAAGATGGATCTTTACCAGCCATACGAAAGATATTACAATTATCACTAAAAATAATTTCCTTTGTCGGCAATTCAAAGGTGTTTTACTGGCAACAAAAAAGGCAACAACATGTATTACCTAGCATACATTGGGGGAGTTATAGTGGCCATTCTAATTGCCAGTAAAAAATGCCGCCGATAATGGGGATCTTTACCGGCACAAGAAATAATGGCCGCTAAAACCTTTAGCGATGCCGGCAACAACGGCTAATATTCAATTGCTGGTAAAAGCTTTTGCGGCAATAATTATCGCCGTTAAAGAACATATTTATTGCCGCTAAAAACCTTTTTTGTTGTAGTGTAGTAGTGTTATTGTCTCCTAATTCCTCCCACTTTGATGTCTCATTCTTCTTCTTCTTTGATTCATAAAAAAGTATTGACTTTTAATGAACAGTCGAATTGTGTAATATA